AAGTTGAAACACATATATATATATATATATATATATATATATATATACACACACACACACGATTACAGTTATGGTTTCGCATTCATGTAATTGTTTGATATAGTAAAATCATATTCGGGTTTAGATGATTATTGCTCTGCACTTATTTAATGGCACATATATAATAGCTAAACTGTTCCAATGCGAATGCATGCATATCATGCGTAACATAGATATATACATGTACATATACATGGTATATTTGATCGGAAGTGAGATTTAAACGTACGTACATGTGTTCAGGAGGTTGCAAGCGACAAATGGTCAGACGTGCCCCAAGACATTCATCGATATTAAGGTAATATGTTTTAAAAAAAAATGATCAATAATAATCATGCAGCAAAACAATTTATTAAAAAAAATAAAATTGCAAATCGATCAGGCGTGGCACCTAAATTATTATATATATTTGTTCCTTTCCAATTTAATTATTCATAGGAAAGAATGCTCCATTACGTGTTACCAATAGTGCCCTTTCCACATCATTTTTATTCTTCATGCATAATATATATATATATATATATATATAAGAATGTATATGTGTATATATATACATATAATCAGTCCTCATCAAAGTAGAAAATTATAGTGTTGGGATCAAATTGGGTAAGGGAGAGTGAATCCTTAGCAGGTGTAACATTATAATCTACCCCCCAAAAAAAAAAAAAACAAGCAAACATAAAAAAAAATTGTAACTGAAAAATAATTGTATGGATTGATAAATATATGATAAAACATACTGAAAAATGTATATAATAAAAACATATGTATTTGATAAATGCATGAAACCTGTCGGGGTTTTTTTAACATGTTCATATTTTAGATATTAATCAAGTATATAATAAATCTAATTCCAGGACCATATTGTGTGTGTATATATATATATATATATGTCTAATGTCGATAACATTATTTTACTGTGAAATAATAGTGTGAGCTTACGCTTTAAACTGCTTCTTCATTACTATATATAGAAGCCTTAGCTTTTAATTTAAGATATTCCTCCGAAATAAAGATTACAACAATAATTCAATATAATTGAATTATACGAGCAGAGAAGCTTCACAATCCAAAAAATTCAGATAAAATAATGAGTGTATATATATTTGTGTGACCATCATCATCATTATTTATTATTATTATTATTATTATTATTATTATTATTTGGATAATCGGTTATACGCCGAGGCAAAGACTAATTCTGTGACAGGGAATAAGGCAGGTGATTAGAATTACGCTCTCATCTCCAACTTGAAGTTCGAACTCGGAACATAAAATACACTTTGAATACCCATTTAATCGGATGAACTATCTAAATTGGATTATTATTATTATTATTATTATTATTATTATTATTATTATTATTATTATTATTATTATTATTATTATTATTATTATTATTATTATTATTATTATTATTATTATTATTATTATTATTATTATTATTATTATTATTATTATTATTATTTGTGTTTATATTGAAAAAATGGCCATAAATAATGAGAATAAAAAAACAAATCTCTTATTGTCATCCACGGAATCAAAATATTTTCACATATTTTAAATATTTGATGTTTAGGTTATCTCTCAGTTTCTAATTTCTTATATTTTTTTGTGTTCTGTTCTAAAAAACTATATCTATCTATTTCAGTTTTTAGTTTGGTGCAAAATTTTCGGATTTGGTTTGTATTCAATAATTCACTTTTATTAAATTTTAAATTATTTTAATATACGTTTCACTTAGATTTCTATTAATTTATTTTTAGACAATTAAAATCCAACCCTTTTAAAAAAAAAATTGTTCCGGATTCATTAATATTATATTAGTTCGGTTCGATTATGAATTGGTTGTTATAAATACATTTGAACATTGGCTTATATTCATTATTATAAATACTACTATTTTTTTCAATCATACTATGAAATCGGATGTGTGTGTGTATATATATATGTATGTATGTATATATATGAAAGTGAAATGTAAAATTAATTGAGTAGGAAATAAATATTAATGGTAAGGTTGGGTAAGGAGCAGTAGTAAGCATATGTATATATATATATATGCATATATATACATTATGAGAAAAATCCCACATGTGTTTCAGCAGCACGCGCATGCACCTCACCCACCATTAATCTCTCTTTCACCATTAATCCCCCATTTTCTATTTTATTTCATAATTACATCCGCCCTCCAAATACTTAATTATTTTTTTTACTATTTTATTTTAACCTAAAAGTATTTTTGAATTCTCCATCTTTCTCCTTTACATGCAATAATACCATTTGATGAATTCTTTAGAGATCGGATAGAATGGTCACTCTCTTTACTCGTATCGTGGGGAATATGTTATTATTGATAATTAAATACGTTTAAATCTTATAAACATATGATTCAGAATATAAAAAACACAAACCAAAATAGAATATACAGCCATATATTTAAATCCAAAATCTCTGCAATTTTAGATTAAAAAATTGACTAGATCATATATATATGACCAAGGTCAACCGAACACAGTCCATGCCATAAAAAATCTCTGTCTTTACTTCTTATTCCCAATACACCAAAACACATAATAATAATAATAATAATAATAATAATAATAATAATAATAATAATAATAATAATAATAATAATAATAATAATAATAATAATAATAATAATAATAAT